CTCATCAGAAGAAGAGGAAGATTGGTCTAAAACTAACACCTGCTACATGTGTCAAAACGTATTTAATGAAAACAATATAAAAGTAAGAGACCACTGCCACCTAACAGGAACTTACTTAGGACCATCTTGTAATAATTGTAATTTAAAACGTGTGAACCCCTCGTTTGTACCTGTTATAATGCATAACTTGAGCAATTATGACGCACATTTCATAGTTAAGGAATTGGGAAATATTCCTGGAGATATTGAGGTTATACCAAACAACGAAGAAAAATATATATCATTCACTAAACATGTGGGTAAAATAAAATTGAGATTCATAGATTCTTATAGATTCATGCCACGAAGCTTAGATTACCTTGTACAATCGCTATCAATGGATAAATTCAAGGAAACTTCAAAATATTATCGAGATGAAGAATTAGTATTGGTTACAAGAAAAGGTGTGTTCCCATACGATTATATAGATAGTGCAGAAAAATTAAATGAAACAGAGCTCCCACCCATTGAAGCTTTTTACAATAAATTATGTGAAACTGATATCAGCGTTGAAGATTATAAACATGCTCGAAACATATGGAAACAATTCAAATGTCAATCTTTAGGGGAATACGCAGATGTTTACGTTAAAACTGACGTTCTTCTACTTTGTGACGTCTTCGAATCTTTTCGCAATGTTATGTTGAAGACGCATAAACTTGATCCAGCTCATTATTTTACCGTTCCCGGTTTGACGTGGGATGCGATGTTAAAATATACAAAAATGAACATAGAGCTTTTACAGGATTATGACATGATTTTAATGATAGAGCATGGAATTCGTGGAGGGTTGTGTCAGGTATCGCACCGGTATGCAGAAGCAAATAATAAACATATAAGTAGCTTCAATTCAAACGAAGAATCCAGTTACATAATTTATTTAGATGCAAACAATCTTTACGGTCAATCGATGAGTATGTATTTACCGTATGGAGGATTTGAGTGGGTTAAAAATCCGGAATCTATAAACATCTTCGATCTTGAGGACGAGGATGAAATTGGATATATTTTCGAAATTGACATTAGCTATCCTCAAGAACTGCATCATATTCATAATGATTTGCCCTTCCTACCTGAAACAATTGTATCACCGGAAGCCAATTGTAATTCAAAAAAATTAATAACCCATTTCGGAAAAAGAACTCGCTACGTTCTACATTATAAAAATTTGATGCAAGCCGTAAAACATGGATTAAAATTAGAAAAAATTCACCGTGCATTAAAGTTTAAACAATCACCTTGGCTTCGCTCGTATATAGAATACAATACAGAATTGAGAAAAGGAGCTTCCAACGACTTTGAAAAGGATTTTTATAAGTTACTAAACAACGCAGTTTTCGGTAAGACAATGGAAAATATCAGGAATCATCAAAATATTCAACTAGTAACTGACGTGAAAAAGTTGATGAAACTCATTGCTAAACCAAATTTTATAGACCGTACAATCTACAATGAGAATATAGCGGCAGTGCATATGGGAAAATCTAAAGTTATATTTAACAAACCTATATATATTGGTATGAGCATTTTAGATTTATCTAAAACTGTTATGTACCAATTTCATTATGACATTATGTTAAAAAAATATTCCGGTAATACCTTAAAAATGATGTACACCGATACCGATTCCTTTATTTATAGAGTTTTAACGGAGGATGTCTTTGAAGACATGAACAAACTGAATCAGTATTTTGATTTCTCAAATTATCCTAGAACTCATCGCTGTTTCTCGGAAGAAAACAAAAAAAAGTTGGGAAAATTTAAGGATGAACTAAATTCCAAGATAATTTTAAAATATGTGGGCTTACGAGCAAAAATGTATGCGATTATGACAGAAAGTGATGTAAAAAAGCGTGCTAAGGGCGTAAAAGCGTCATCGTTAAAAAAATATATTAGTTTTGAAGATTACGAACAAGTACTATTGAAAAATGAAATCATGCATACACCTATGAGATTAATACAATCGAAGCAACATAATATTTTTAGCTCTGAGATTAATAAAGTTTCTCTTTCACCATTTGACGATAAAAGACATATACAAGAAGACGGGGTCAATACTTTGGCCTATGGTCATTATAAATTGACTGAGGTGAAAAAATAGAAAGAAAATTTAGTAATATTTTTTAGTCATATATTTAGTAATATTTTTAAAAGAAAATAATAAAAAAATATATTTAAAAATATATTCTAGACAGTAGGAAAAGTTATAAGTGTGAATGGAGGTCCCTGGAGAGGCTATAAACGCCCGTAAACCAATGCGTGTGTTTTTGGTCACTGGCGAGGCTATAAACGCCCGTAAACCTGTATGTTATGGTCACTGGCGAGGCTATAAACGCCCGTAAGCCACCCTCTCGATGCATCTTCACCTTGCCGTGGTGAGAGGGCTTAAAGCAGTAGGCTGAACTAAGAGAGATGCACACAATCAGTAAAATACACAGATAATTCTATTTTATATAATATTTTTTTGTACATATAAAATCAAAAATGATTAAAAAAAAAAATACACCGTGATATACAAATTCTACAATTATATCAAATAAAATGTATTATTAGTCAATGTGTGATACATACTACTGTTCTGGTAGATGTATCCTTTGCCCCTTCAATAAAAGAAGATACTAACCATCATGCACCGAGGACCTGCGCCAGAATCGGTCTTTTATATCTACTGTGTTAGTATACTAAACTATGCGGGCGCCTCTATACAACAATTAATGTACGGTAGTAGGCAAGATACCACGTGGGAAGCCAACACTCTGATGTATAGTTAAGATTGTCAAAGATGGAATAATGCTTCATGTCCCAAACTGAAAAGCAGTAACTTGAAAAACTGTGAAGCTTTTTTAACTTGAATGAAATAAAGTTTATTTATTAAAGAAGAAATAATCCACTTTTAAATTTTAAAGAAAAAGGATGAAGTATGTTTGTTTTTTTTACAGAAATAACATCAGAGATAATTTTCAAATAATAAAAAATTCTTATCATCTAAGGATATATGCATTCCTAAAACTAAACATTTTTTACTTTCACTTACGTATATATGTAATATATAGTAAGGGTAAGTATTGCAATCGTGAAAATTTTTGAATCTGAGTATTCAACTAAAATACACGTGTTGGGGTATCCTGAATTTAAATAACCAAGTCCTGAAAAATGGTCTGTGTATGTGTATATTAGCAGTCTAGCTCAAAAACGAAAAGTCGTACGAAACTGATATTAAGTATTTAAGATAAGTATATGCCTTAGATGTGGCAGCAAATTTTTCTTTAAAAACGGCTAACCGGAAGTGCCACTTTATAATAACGCTGAAACACATTTTTACAATTTTTTTCAAAAACGGCTCTAACGATTTCGATTAAAATCCGTGTAACATTGTATAATTAAGTGGCCTTTAATATCAATTAGGTCCTATCCCCGTTAATGCCACTTTACAGAGCTTAAATGCCTATTATTCATATTCGTCTTCGTCTAAAGTACCTTAAATACGGTTTCTTTTAAATAATTAACTATCTTTTATTATTAAGAGTTAAGAAAAAGTGCTAAATATAACTTTTGAAAGAATTTGATAATTGAATAAAGGAGAAACAAAAATAAAAACATTTATCCAGGTCGAAAATGAATCTCCGGAAATAATAGTCAGAGGGTATACGTATAATATATCGTTGGCAATTTTGGAAAAAAAATATAGACTAACTAATATAGAAAGCTATAGAAGGTAAGGGAGAATGGCAAAATAATAATTTTTAGAAACTAATAATATTTAACGTAAATCGCATGTTTTCATGGAAATTAAATAGTCAGATAGACAGAGGCAATGGATGCTCCTAGGGCGCCCTGAGGTAAAGAGATGTTTTAAGCCAGCATAAAACTGGTAAGCTGCTTTTGCACAATTTGTATATTGAAATTGAAAGGACTGGGAGTAGGCAAATTAGTCTATATGATATCAGGCTGTTGGGTCTGAGTGTTTGCATAATAGAGGAAAGAGGGTGGTACGTAGAATGTAAGCGAGACGACTAAGACCATATCTTGCTTGAAGTATTAGGTTGTTCATAAAATAATAGGTGGTTTAATGCATATTATATTGCAATAATTTTATAATAGACCTATTAAGATAACAGGTGAGGAACCTTTTTATCATTAGAAGCCGAGGTAAGGTTAGGCAGTGCTAATGGAGGCCGCAACAACTCTTTATATTTTACTGTTGCTATCTTTATTTATAACTAAATTCTCGCAGGGCTTGTCACTTAATTAATTAAATATTAATTAATTGTAGTGCTAGATTAGTCTGGAGACAGCAGCTATGTCACGGAAGAACTTGCGGCCTAGGGGCCGCATGTTCTTTACCCGTGAGATAGATTATAATTAAAATATTTTTAAATAGATCGGGTCCCTTCGGATAGATATTGAAATATACATCATAGAAAAATATAAACTGTACTAAATACATATAAATAACGTTTCTGAAACTCCCTACCTTTCTAAAGCCTTAGAAAAGCGGACAGTGAGAAACGTAGCAAAAGTTAATTTTTCATAAATGATTAAACAGGATTACATGTTACTAATGTAATGGGGAAATCTCCTCGTTTTTTCAACCCATCTTGTGCAGACTGCTATTGCTTAAGAAGGAATGTGGTACCTGTAGCATAATACCACTCCCCCACTTTGCCATAAATGACAGAGGTAGGGATTAATTGAAAAACAAAAAAAAGATACAACTCTTTGTGATAAAATAATGTTAATGATGGTTTATATAATATATGAAGAGGTGGGATTCATTTGTAAATACTCGCTCATTCATCTTTGCACATTCTGACTTCTGCAATCCTTTTATTCAGTTATTACTGATACAGTTCAAATCGATTTCGAGACTTCAGTCCCCAGATATTCCCACTGTGCAGTACAGCAAACGAAAACAGGTTTTATGAGCGTCGATCACGAGATAGCACAGTGAACGTTCGCGGATGAATCGGTCAGTCTCCTGTGTACTGAGACAACCAACCAGCATTAAGATGCTCTACAACCACACCGGCAGCTACCAACTCGACCGCGACATCAGGTACTGGTATCATCACCATTATTCTAGCAAGTTATCGAGTCCACTTTAAAAAAAATCCTAAATAATGTTTTTGTTTTTTTTAATTTCAGTCTAAAACATTGTTATCGTGTTATCTTTATTTGTTTTTTATTCACTGAACGTCATATAAATAGGAAAGCAAAACGAATCAACAGATTTTACTACTGTAAGAAGGTTGAAATGTATTAATGCAATATTTTTGGGGAATGCTCAGCTATGAACAATTATCTACAAACAAATAGTTAAAAGCCATTTTCATTATATCACTAGTTGAACATCAACTTGGTATTTTTTTTTTAATAAAGAACTAACCAATTTGCAATATTGCGTGATTAAGATTAAGACATTAATTCTATCCGATGCCATCCATAATAAACCAATTAAAGGTTAGTGAGCCCAAAACTTGGATGACGATACTAAAATCGCTGTCAACCTACTACTATTCAAATCCAAATCTGCAAAATCTTTCTTGAGGTAAACCTCCCACATACGTCTTGGTCTACCCCTTGAAAGTTTACGATATCGTCCTTCGCTTATTAAGTTTTCAGTGATTCGTTGATTACCCAGCCCGGCAAATTTTGCAGGCCTCACATATACCATGTTTACATTCATTTCACTTTCATCGGAAGTGAGAACGAAATCGGGCCACTTAACTTTAAAGTAATCTTTAAAGTAGTTTATATTTGGTATATTGATTGGTATTTCGCACTTTGATCATACCTATTATTCGCACTCTTCTCTTTCACACATGGGAACATTGGACAAATGACTATATTATAATGGTGACGAGATACTTTTGTGAGACTCAATGAATAAAAATCATAAAATTAAATCGAAAATTCGTTTCTCATGAATATTATTATTTATTAGGTCTGCGTATTACTATTACAATGCACTCTACGTTTTAACGGAGAACGAGTTTGACCTATATACCTAGTCCTTTTCTCCATGGAACAGACAAATGGAACAGGAAGCATAGAAAAGAACGATGGTCATAACTGATGGATAAAACACGCAAGCTGTGTTCACAGCTCAAGATGTAATTATGAATGGCTTACTTGCAAGAGTGGGTGTTTACAAGGACATGCTGCAAACATCAATATTAACCAATTAGGCGATTTAGAGTGAACAATAAAGTAAAAACCTTAATCTTTTATTGATTAAATGTAATAATTTAATCAAGATCCCACGAAAAATAAGAAAACAAAACAAACTTGTTTATCATAAATAAAATTAATTATTCTCCTTTTCAATTATTATATCAACGTCTAATGTCTTACTTAATTAATTGGTTTGTTAATAATATTGGATTAATAATGCAGTTAATGGGTTAATAATTGCGTAAAATAATGCAGGATTTTGGTTTAAAAAGAAAAAAAAAATTACAGCTGTTTTATTTAATCAAAATAGTCTCTACTACTGTCAATACATTTTCCCCAACGACTTGGTAACTTTTCCATTCTCTCGGATTAGCATTTTCCATCTTTAGCATAGATAAACTCCAAATACGTATTTTCTAATTCCCATTCTTCATTAATTTTATTGTCCCGTAATTAGTGGGCTAGGTGTCCAAAAAAGTGATAATCCATAGGCGAGAGGTCAGCAGAGTTTCATATTCAAGCTCCAACAGTGTCTGTGACGTCACACATGAGGCATGTGACTGGGTGTTGTCATGCAACAAAATGGGTCCCTTTCGATTGACCAAAGATGGCTTCGTTATTGTTTCTGATTGACGTGGTTACAATACGATTCGGTATTGAGGGTTTCTCCAGGATTAAAGAACCTATAGTGTATCAAACCAAATGAAGCCCACCAAACAGTAACTATCAACTTTTTTTTGATGAGTTGGAGACTTTTTAAAATATTCTGCTGCTTATCATTTGTCGAGCTAGAACGACTACTATTATCGTAAAGTATCCACTTTTTATATCCACAATTCAGGACAAAAAAGGGCCATTTTTGTTTGAGCAAAGAAGTGTAGCACAAACTTTATAACGCTGTTTTTTTTTTGTTTTGTTTTTTTTTACGGCCGTTCAATGTGAGTGGAACCCAACTTTCAAACTTTTTAACCTTTCCAATCGCTTTGGGGTGGTCATCGACGGTCGATTTGTTAAGGCTAAGTTTCCCAGGCAGTTCTCGAACAGTTGTTATGGAGGTTTCTTTCACCAAAACCCGCAGAACACCGTCATCAAGAGAATCCTTCCACGACCTTCTTTGTCTTCAAGGCTGAAGTCTCCTGCCCGAATATTTGAACCACCAGTGAACAGTAAACTCTTAAATAGTGCTCTCGCCACAGACTTGATTGATGTTTCTGGCTGTCTGGGGCCCGTTCCGGTCGAGTTTAAACTCGTAAAGTAGAGATTAATTATTTCCAAGAAGTGAAATGCTACAGAAGTAAACAAACATCATCGTTTGGAAGAGATTTAACAAGTGTTAACATTCGTACAAATGAATAATCCAGTAAACGTAAACAGTTTGTTATTTAGTGGAGTATTTTAAATAAAACTCAAAATCCTGCATTATTCCGGACAACTCAATACAACCTAAATATTATTTTTTTGTTTGATAATTCTAATGATGTTATATGTTTATTATCAACAAATCTTCTATATATTTCGATTTGAGGATAGACATTCTTTTCATTGTAGTTAATTGTTCAATGGAATTCAGAACGATTAGTACAGGAATAAATATGACAGCGCGAGAAGTAGTGGCATGGGTTGAATGCAAACAAGGCAATCATAATATTTACCGAATATAGTTCACGCAATTCGGTGTAGTATATAAATTCTCCAATTGACTTTTCCTTATTTGGTACAAATATTTTACGCAATAGTTTATTTAAAAAAAAAAAAAACACTTCAAGGTCAGAACTCTATTAACAAACTGAATATATGAATATATAAATATAAATTATTAGTATTAATCTTCTGTTCATTTTCCAAAGAAAAAAAAATTAGTATTAATGGTCAAAAACTGGGAATCAAATATATAGCTGGAAAGTCACAGACTATTAACATTGATTTATTAAAACATTTTAGCAGGAAATATTTCTGTAGCTTTTTAACTTATCTTCCTTTAACTAACTTTCTAAACTTATCTTAAGGAGTAAAAATGTCCACTAAATATGGTAAATAGGAAAATTCCGAATTTTTAATGTCAATTAATGGACTTTTTTTTTAAGTATTCATTTTAAATATGATAAACCATTAACATTGAATCCACTTGGTAAACATCTCCTTGATTACATAAGATAGCTGATGCAATTCTAGGTGTGAAATTAAACGCAAGGACATCCAGTATATTCATTAAAAAAAAAATAAATAAATAAAGGACTTTACCGTGTGTACGAGAGGTCACCTAGTTCCAATTTTTTGTATATCCATTTCTAATGAAAATCTAACAACAATCCAAAGATCTAAAACTTTTAGATCTACCTGAACTGCTATTTATTAAAACTTGTGGAGAAAAATAAATCAAAATCTTCATTAAAAAAAGCTTTTGTTCCAGCTATTCGACAGCGGTTTAATGTTTTTTTTCTTTTCGTTTTCACTTTAGTAATAAAAATATTGCTATAATATAAAATATCTAATATATATATATTAAGCTAATAGCTACATTTTATTGTGGGTCCGCTTCATCCGAGATGACACATTTTTATAGCGAGTTGGTACTCTTCATCGCGGAGAATGCTCAGTGGAAGTTTCGTAGATGGATTCAGAATTTAAATTTGATGAATCTATTCCAGATATAGGGTAAAGGTTAGATATTGTATCGATAAATCGCTTGTAATACCTCATATTCACTGCAGCAGCTCTCGTTGTGGATTTATTCGTCTTCAAGTTTTCACCATTTTGTTCAATATTCGCATTTATACCTCCTGTCAGATAATCATAGAGAAAGAATACTGAGGATGTAAGATGTAGAAATCATTTGTGTTAGTATCTTGGATCAATGATAACACCAGGAAGCACAATTTCTCAGCGACTCGTTAATGCCAACACCTGCTATTATGGATCTTAAAAGCGCAACATTGTACCGCTCTACCAAGTGTCAATTGACACTTATTGTATGGGAACCTCCTCTGGTCTGTCCTAGCTTACGGCTTCAGAGGTAAGGTAAATCCTTCGCCATATATTTGGAGCTATGAAGGAGGGTAACTGCAGGAAAACAAATAAAAATTGGAGAAGGAGAACTAATGCAGAGGTTTATGGGCTTTACGGAAGAGTGAATTTGAAATTGGAAATCTTATGCTGACCACGCTACATGGATGTCTTTAGAAAACATAACAAGGAAGTTGCTGAATGGGAGATTGTGCGGGACCTGAGGAAGAGGCAGGCCTCGATTAAGATAAGAGGATGGAGTAGCAAAGGACGCCGTGGAGCTGCTCGACACAACCAACTGGTGGGAGGTTGCCTAGGATAGATAGATCTGGCGAAGGGTAAGGACCGAACTGGTCTGCAGTGCCATGGAGTATCACTAATACACATGAAAGCAGTTGTCAATACTTTGGCCATCTGCTTTGCAATCCGAATCATCAGAGTTGTACATCTCTTTTAGCAAAGGTTCTGCGCATTTCTTCACAAACCCTACATTCAGGGGTGCCCAAAAGAGGGATGGAGCAAGTCGCACCAACACGATTTTTGAGGAGATACGCATTTTGAAGGGGGTTTGAATTTTTTAAGGTGTACGTTTTGACAGGGTTATGAATTTTTGGCATGAAAAGTTCCAAATAAGGAAACAAGGAGGAAAATATGGAGTCGATCTTACACAATACACAGCAAGTGTAAGATCAACGATTATACTTTCGTCAGCACTACTTTTAAAAATAGAAGAACAATAAAATTTCTTGGGAGAGAGAAGCTCAAGCTTCATTGATCTTAGGGCTGGGAACCACTGTCTGCAGTTCTATTATCCAAACGAGGTATTCTGTTATTCTTCAGGGCGGCTGTTACATCCAAACGTTCTTCGTAATCTGGAGGCTTAACATCATTGTGGTTGACTCCCTCCTGTCATTGGACGCTGTTAGGGAGTGGTTGTTGAACATTTAATAAATCACTATGAGTATACACTTTATGGTTTTTGGTGGATCAGTTCACCCTTTTAATTTTGTCACTTTGGGTTGAATAGCATTCTTAAATATCTACAGCTTTTGTAAAATGTTCTTGTTTGAATTTGATATCATGAATGAAATTTCTGTATTTTGTAATTAATATAAACAATTACAGGATCAAGTATATCTCAAAGACATTATAAGTAGATTTTAAAATCACTCCATTTGCAACGATATTAATTCAGTCGTCGATTCAAAATATAATTCAGAATACAGAAACATGATTAGTGTAAGCCACGGAGAACAATATTTAAACATAAGAACAAACATAAATTAACATAGAACAGTCAGCCAATTTAACGAAACCTTCATTTTATGTTAATGGAACGGCCTATACACTAGAAGGGGAAGAAAACTGTACTATATGCAACCTCCAAAAGCCAGAAAATCATTTTTTAATAGAATGTCCGATGTATAAAGACTTAAGGGAACATTACATAGAGAAGTATATTACAGAAAACAACAATTCAATGCTCGGTAAATTGTTAACGATACAAAACCAAAAGTTAAATGATATATTTTATTTTACTGTAGAGAGCCTTAAAATAATATCGTTTATTATGAATGATTAAATGCCAGCAATATTTATGTCTATTTTTATGTTTACCACAAGACATTGTTATCTTCGACTAAGAAGTTGAGCATATGTATTGTTGCAATCTGCTACATTGTATTGTAAGAATATATTATTGCTATTTTTAAAATTCCTTTAATGTATATTTTTTTTTTTTTTTAATATATATCTTCAAAGTCGATATTTTTTATTTATATTGTTATACAGTTGTTTTTCCTTTTCTTATCTTATCTTATTTATGAAAAAAAAAGAATATTTCTCCGATTTATTTCTACATTTGTATAGTACTTTATTTTGATTCTTTTTTATGTAATAATATATTTAGAGCCAGGCCTCCTGTAATTGTATATATTAATTACAAAATACAGAATTTTCATTCATTCAATTTGATATCATAATCACTCGATAGCATTTCGAGCTTGTTTTTTTTTTGTTTTTTAAACATACCTTCTTTGCGCTCCTTCTCATAGAGATATATTCTCCCCTGCTGTTTATTGTTTACATTTTCAATCTCGCCTCTTTCCCGTCCCTGGTCTCGGTCTCATTCCTCATTGTAGCATGCCTTACCCGTTCTTTGATGTTTTGCCTTCAATATCTCCTAGACCTTCATAGTTGATTTAATCGTTTTCCAATGACTGTTAATTTTTTTATATCCATCGTATCTCTTTAAAAATGATTACTGTACATTAATTATATGCATTAATGTAGTCAAAATTAAAGTATCATTTTTACTGAATTTGTTTTGTTTCAGGAAGAAAGAACCTGGAAAACTAAAGACGATTTTCAAATCCGTAAGTACAACCTTCTGTTTTGTTTGACGTTAAGATATAATTGGAAGATTTCAATAATTAAACTTTAAATCTCTCAAATGATAGCAGATTATTTAGCCAAAGCCAGGCATTATCACAATAGAACCACTTAAACGCTGACGAAATATATCACAGTTCACATCGACGGTCCTTAAAAGACCATCAACTGGACACAGGATATCACTCCGAACTATAATACATACTGAAGGAAATGACAGGTAACATAACAGCTGAGTAGAGTTATATTGGAACAGCTGATCAATTGAAACGGAAAATAAAAATGCTCAAAACCAAACGGTTTTAAAATGTCATAAAATAATTGATGCGTTTCATTTAAGGGTCTAAGTGACGAAAAAATAAATAAATAAAAGAAATTACTTATTATTAGAGACTAGATCTCCATGTAAGTGCACATTTTATTTATTTGAGTGGAAAAAAAACCCGGAACCGAATATCCATCCGTTTCAGAATCTGTAGAATAACATATTTAAATTTAATTTATCACGAAATTGCATGTTATGCCGTTTTTGTCTTAAATAGCACATTTTTGAAATAGGAAAAATTACATTTTTTTTTTTTTTTTTGTGAAACGATATTTTAATTCAGAAGCTTAACATAAGGTTTGATAGGATTTCGATCTATTAATATTATAAATTGAATCGAAATCAAATCGATCATGTCTTGATACAACACAGCTGGCAAAGCAGTATAATTAATGTACGGTCTTATCGCGGAGCAGAATGTGGGTCGGATCATGAATTAGTAATCGCGAAACTTCGACAAAAACTTAATATAAAAAAGAGAAAAGAAAACCGTTTCGATTTTGAGAATTTTAATTTGGAAAAATTAAAAAATCCATCAATTAGAAACCAATTCGAGCTAGATGTTAAGAATAGGTTTGAAGCTTTAGAGCTTCCTGACGAGGACCACGAGGATATTGACAAGTTATGGATAGAGATCAGAGATAATATTAAAGCGGTCGGTAACTCGTGTCTAGGAAAAAAGGAAAATAAGAATAACAAACCGTGGTTTGATGAAGATTGCTTAAACATGTGCGAAAAAAGAAAAGCCGCTAAATTAAAAGCTCTAAATAATCCTAGCGAAGACAATCTGGAATACTTCCGAATCTCAAAGAACGAAACGACAAAATTGCTCAAAAATAAAAAAAGGGAGTATCTTAAAAATAAAATAATTGAAATAGAAACTAATAGAATCGAAAATAAAGTAAGAGACATGTACAAAGGTATAAACAGATCACGTAAATATGTAGGGCCCGTAACGTCTGGAATTAGGGATGATAATAACAATATTCTGACCGATCCGGCTGACATATTGAATAAGTTTAAGGACCACTTTGACAATATTTTAAATACGGGAAATTATGATCTGTGTCCTCCTTCTGAGTACCAGAGTGCTGAACCGTTAATAGAAGGACCAAGTAAAGAGGAAGTTGAAGTAGCTATCGGAAAATTAAAATCATATAAAGCAGCGGGAATCGATAATATTCCTACTGAACTAATTAAGGCATGCGGAGAAGCTGGAGTTTCTAAAATACATCGGTTGGTTAAAAAGATCTGGGTGAACGAGAAATTACCTGAAGAATGGAAAGAATCTATTCTTATTCCGATTCACAAAAAGGGTCCGAGGACGGATTGTAATAACTATCGAGGAATTTCACTCCTTCCGGTATGTTATAAAATATTCACTTTAATCTTAACCAGTCGAATCGTGAAATACGCCGAGGAAATTATCGGAGACTACCAATGCGGATTTAGACGGAATCGTTCGACTATTGATCAAATATTTTCTTTACGGCAAATATTAGAGAAAAAATTGGAGTATAACGGTATTGTTCACCAGCTGTATATAGATTTTAAAAAGGCTTACGATTCTATTGACCGCCAGAAACTGTATAATATTCTAATCGAGCAGGGGATTCCAAAAAAACTAGTAAATCTAGTCAGGATGTGCTTGACGGAGACACTCAATAAAGTTAGAATCGGTAATAATTTGTCCGAAAAATTTGAGGTTCGTTCGGGCTTAAAACAGGGGGATTCTCTTTCGCCTGTCCTGTTCAATTTGGCATTAGAACATGCCATTAGGGAGGTAATGCGAACCGAGCAAGGGTTGGATCTGGGCGGGACAACATCCGTGCTGGGCTATGCTGATGATCTGGTACTGTTAAGCGAAGACGTTGAAACTATAAAACTAAATACGACAACGTTAATGAAAGCCGGGAAAGAACTAGGACTCGAAATAAACGTGGATAAAACAAAATATATGGTTAGCTGCAAAAATGGCGATACTACTGGTGATATCGATATAGATGGTAATATGTTTGAACAGGTAGATAAATTTAGGTATCTAGGTTCTACGATAACTAGAAAAAACGAAATTGAAGAAGAGATTAAGGTTAGACTGAAGGCGGGGAATGCTTGTTATTTTTCTGTGACAAAACTACTTAGTTCGCGCCTCTTGTCCCGAAACTTAAAAATTAGAATCTATGAAACAATTATCTTACCTACAGTTCTTTATGGATGCGAAACTTGGCCGCTTACATTAAGGGATGAGCAGCGTCTTAAGGTTTTTGAAAATAAAATATTGCGTAGAATATTCGGACCGAAAAAGGATGAGTTAACCGGAGAGTTCAGACGGTTACACAATGCCGAATTGCGTGAGATGTATCCGGGTAATATAATTGAGGTAATTTCATCGCGGCGAATCAAATGGGCTTGTAAAGTTGTTGGGCTTAGTAACGAGAGAATTCCTAAAAGGTTAATATTTGCTGTGCCGAATGGTAAGCGTCCGAGGGGTAGACCGAAGCGAAGATGGGAAGATTGCATTAAAGCCGATCTGAAGGGACTGGGTTTGGACGGCGAACTGTGGAGGGAGGTGTGTAACAAGCGATTGGTGGTGTCGGCATCGAACCTTCGGGTTCGCTAAGCCTTATTATTATTATTATTAATATTATAAATTAAACAAAATGCATGATTTTTGTACGTTTTTAGGTGTAAATTAGACAATATTACGTATGTGGGGATTTTACTGCACGATTTTGCACATTTTGAGTTTATTGCTGCGATTTTTTTGGATTTTTACAGCACGAAGATCCGGTCTCTACTTATTATATAGGCACCTACAACATCATTCCCTATTCATTGACTTCTGGCAGGCGTATAACAGTGTGAACAGAAGTAAGCTATTGGAAGCCTTGCCGTCACTGGGGATTCCTAGTAAACTAATAAAATTGACCAGAATGGCTATAGAAAGGACAAGCTGTATGATCAGAACCAGAGTGGGTATGTCAGATAGTTTCGAGGTTTAATTCAGGTGGCTTAATTCAAGGGGACCCATTATCTCCTGTACTATTCAATCTTGCTTTAGAGTTTGCGATTCGGAAAATCAAGACGAACCCTGGTAGTTCGCCTTGATTTTCCGCCCATCTATAGAAGGTTCATGCAACACATGGCATATGCTGATGATGTTGTTATATCAGGGAGAAATAAAGCAGCACTAGCCGGCGCTATAGAAGAGTTCAAGCATGCAGCTCAAGAATTACAAAAGTCTGTCCAGGAAACCAAAACTAGTAATATATAAAACGGTGCTATGACTAAGGAAAACAGGAGAGCCTAGCTGGTCTGGAAGAGAAGAGTACTAAGCTATATCTTTGTACTAAGAAGATCTTTGGAACAGTCAGAGAGCAGCATAAATGGAGAATAAGTTAACATAGAGTTAATGGAGTTATATGGAGAGCCAGACATCCTTAGTGTTATTAAGAAGGGCAGACTCAGATATCTGGGTCATGTTGAAAGAATGGGTCCCAGTAGACTTCGAAGAATAATGCTACTCTAGAAGGAATAATGGTACTCTAGAAGGAAAAAGACAAAGAGGAAGACCCAGGCACCGATGGTTGGATGATCTGGAAGAGTTCTTGAGGAGGCTGGGGACCAGGAGGAGTGGAGGAGAGTGGTTGCAGAGGCCCAGGTTCTATGAGGACTGTAGCGCTCATTGAAGAACGAAGAACATCATGTAGCGGCACCAGATTACCTCAAGTTGTTAGGTCTTCGGATCTCCACCCCATCAGGGTGTAGACCTATATGCAGATGGTCAGTATATGTCTCATATACGCTTTTGATTCAACTTAGTCTGCTCTTCTTATTTAACAACATCCTGATATCTTATTCCTCTTCTCTTTTTCCATGTAAGTAGGACGCTGATCCGTCCGCTTGCAGTCATATACACTGAGTCTGGAGATTGATCCCTCTGGTTGTGATTACCATCCTTGCGGAGTGTTAAGCTTGATCTCTTACACCGCAGACCGAGAGTGATTGGGTGCTGATCCGCCTGTCACTCGAGGCCATCTATCTAATCATCTTCCTTCATCCATTCAGTTATCTCACCCTCAATACTGAACACGCACTCTGCACACATATACAATCATTTAGCTGTAAATCTTTTGAAAAATTGATTTTTTAGTCATGGGAGTGGTCTCATTTGATCCAGGAACATAAATATATTAAAATCGATAGATGACCGATATACCTACATTTAGCAAAATTAAAATAACAATTGCACACCACTTACCATTTTCATCCTCAGTAAAGGGTAGTTGTCCTACTTCAATTTGGGCGGATTAAGTAATTTTTCAACAGATAACTTTAGCCAATATAACTAACTAACCTTATCATATCCTCATGAGAGGTTCTTTCTCCTCAACAGTTACGCTACTCCAGCAAGATGGACATGGCCATCCTAATCTTGAGCATATTTTCTGCCATCTGTCTTGGACTCAATGCTCCCTTCAACCTGTACTTCCTTCTAACACCTCTTCTGACTACATTCATTAAAGCAGAGACTCCAGGAAATGTGAGTATAAAACTTAATTTTCATAAATAAAATTATTATTGTTAGTTCCTGAATAATTTGAAGACAAAAATGTAATTACTTGATTTTTTCGACAAATTACAGCCATATCATGTCAATATGACTGCAGAGATTCCAAAGTTCAGAGGGTATGGCTATGGTTACTGTATTGTTGGAGGAGCTACCTTGTTTTTTAGCATCCTTCAGGTAAGCAATCACTTTTTTGTTTTCTTTATTAATAATTCATACCTACATACATCAACTACTGCAGAGTTTCTAGATCCTTAGTCCAACCCTGTTGCTAGCTCAGATCTAATAATGTTGTCTTTGGACTACTTCGCATTTAGAGTAAGTTTATTGAGAGTGGCCCAAGTGCTGATTCTATTGATGCCTTCTTGCAATTTTATTAATTGCATTGGAGAACTCAGTAGAGTTGAAGAAGGCATAGATATGAAGGTCATCGGTATATAGATGATACTGAAAACATTGCAAATAGACAGGGGGAAGTTGTTGATGAAAATATAGAAAACAGTAGGGGACTAACAAGAACCTTGGGGTATGCCTTGCAGCAAAATAGAGATTTAGGGCAGTTTTACTTGGTACATTGGTACGCTAATAGAATTGTGTGCCACAATTAACAGACCTGGAGCCAGGAGGTCACCTCATTCTTAAAAAAAAAAAGTTTATATAGATTATGATCCGGTTCCGCAAAGCAAAGAAAGAAATAAAAATTAAGAGAAGAATGGTTGGGGTGATCAGTCACAAATAAGAAGGCAAAAAATAAATAATAATATTTATATTAACATTTGCCGACATTTCGACCTGAAGGTCAGGGCTATGAAAAGAACTAGATAACAAGGTATGAGAAACATAAATAATAGTTGCAAATAGAATAGTTAGATAGAAAATTGAGATATTGTAAAGTCTATCAAAATGTACTGACAACGTATAATAGAATAAGGAGTTAAAACAGAGAAAAGGAATGAAATGAAGCAAGAAAAAAAGAGAAGACTGAAATATCTCTCTGACTGAAAAATCTCTTTTTTTTCCTCCCTCATTTCATTCCTTTTCTCTGTTTTAACTCTTTATTCTATTATACGTTGTCAGTACATTTTGATAGAATTTACAATATCTCACTTTTCTATCTAACTATTCTATTTACAATATCTTAATTTCACTATTTATTTTCATTTCTTATATAACTTCATATTGCTTTTTTCTGTTTTATATTTTATTCTAAGATTACCATTTTAATACTAATATTACCTTTTTTCATTATGTTTACTTCATTCCACACTTTGTAACAATTATTATTATTTATCTCTTAGTTCTTACTATCGTCATTATTCTACCCACTTCATTTTACTTTAATATTTTTCACCTACATTATTTATGTTTCTCATACCTTGTTATCTGGTTCTTTTCTTAACCCTGAACTTCAGGTCGAAACATTGGCAAATGTTAAAATAAATATTATTATTTATTTTATGCTTTCTTATTTCTCACTGATCACTCCAACCATCATTATCATCATTATTCACGACAGTCAACCATTAGCCCACAATTAGAAATAAAAATTCTGCGGTTTTTTATGTGTCACGATTTTTAAATTCAACAAATATTTAGTATTGATATTACATTAACCCTTCTATTTGAAGATAATAAATACAGTGCTTGGTAAATAAAAATGTGATCTACAAAACCTTTCTCTGAAATCTGCGCCTCTGTAAAATAATCTGGAGGGCACCTATATAATATTATAATTCAAAATATTAATTTATTTTATTGGGAGGATTTGTGCGTTCAACAGCGGTGTTCTTAATGATATATTTGAGTATCAATTAAATATAATATAAATTGTTCAATTTTTCAGATCATGGCTTCTGAAATAGCTTCTCGGAACATAATGACCAAAATTAAGACTGCCTACTTATCTAAGATGCTGTCAATAGAGATTGTTTGGTATGACAAATCGCAAGAACAATTTGTCACAACTGTATCACAGTAAGTCTCTGAAATTATGTTATAGAATTGAGGCAATTATTTTTAAAACCAGGTCTTTACTTGTTTTTGTCCAATATTTTTATTTAAGTCTACACTGCAAAGCTGCTCATTTTAGTATAAAATTGGTTTCGACTTGTTGGATTTCTTCCATAAAATAGAGCACAATTATTTGTTGTATTATATTGTCTGCATCATGCAACCCCCTTCCGGATATCCTTGCTCAAACATTTATGCATAAAAAATATACAGTGATGTACTAAAGGTACTAAAGGTTTTTGATTAAATTATTTTACGATTCAAGTGGAAAGCAAATGATTATTTACGAGTTCTTAGTACCTAATTAAATAGACAAAGTTTGGCGATCTCCAGATTTAAAACGCCTGAATTTCAAGAATTTTCCTAAATAAAATAGTTGTAGGTTACTATGAGATGAATCTATTAACGGAGTTTCAGGCAGATGTTAATAATTTGATGAAAAGGGGTATTTACCAAGGACTATTTCTTTTCTTTAAATTTATCATTATCATTAGAGTAATGATTTTTATTTTTATTTCTGTCTCTTTTTCTAATAATATGTTTTATTAATCAAATTCAATATGTATATATGTCGCTGTTTTTACTGCATTTATTACCTGTTTCTCTTTTTGGAGGAAGAAGGGGGGATGGGATGGTTTTAGTAATAATTGAGTCAAATATTTTTTTTTATCCATTTCACAGATCTATTTTGTCATCATCATGATACAAATATCTAATATTACTGTCTACTAGTTTTTTTTATGCGGATTATGATTATTAGCATTTTTGATAATTTATATTCACTGTATATGTGACTATTAGTAAGTTACATATGTACTTTTTTACTAATATAAGTTTTACTATTTTTTATAATTTTTATGTAATAAAATCGCTTGTATATATTACACAGAAATAAATTATAAGACACTTTCCATTGGTAAACCGTTTAATTGGTTATTAAATATTTTAACTTTTTATTCATTTATTACAGTGACTTACAGAAGATGGTGGCTTTATTTGACACAGAAATGGCAAATGCAATAGAAATGTTTTCGTTTTTCATTTCTGGTTGCATAGCTGGCTTCATTGTTTCATGGAAGGTTGCACTTTTGACACTTGTAACAATGTTGACTGGAATGATGGTAACATTCTTTATACTCCGAGTAAGTATCATTAATATTTTTGTTTTAAATCTGCATATTTATTGCCACATAGATTAATTTTTTCATATAAAATAGGCTCATTACAATGTATGTCAGATGAGGAGTTATTGCACAGTTATAAATTAAACTACAAATTAATAATTTAAAAAAATAAAATATTTCTTGGACAATAAAAAAGCTGGATAAAGTAAAAATTGCTAGGCAATGAAGAGCAATTTCCTTCTCTGTCTAAATTCTTAAAGACAAATGTCGTTTAAAAGAAAAATAATATTTTTTTTTTCCTTTTTTTGTCAACTACAAGCAACCAACATTAAAAGTGAAAAAAAAGAAGAGGAAAACATGGTTAAATCTTTTGTAATTAATTTAATAACATTAATAAATTGTGATTAAGTAAAAGTTTATTTTAAAAAAATACATTTTAGAAGGAAAAAAGTTCTATTTAAATAATAAATTATATTTTTAAAAGTAATCTTCAAATATGTATTATTTTTCCAGGCATCGAAAAAAGAAGGAAAATTGCGACAACAGTGCATTAGAAAATGCACAAAAATTGCTTCAGAAGTACTTGGAAACACCCGTACTGTAGTATCATATGGTGGTGAATATGAAGAAATTGAAAGGTATTGTATATTTTAATATAACTGTAAACAATCTTATTGGATACATTTTTAATTAAAATTTATTAAACAAAAATAAATCAAATTTCAAATAATTCTTCAAAGTATGTTGAAAGTATAATAGATAAACTATCAAATCAAAATTATCATTAGATATTTATTTAAAATTTTTACTCACATTTAGGTACAAGAGTAATTTAAAAATGGCCAATAAGTATGGATTAAAACATTCTACAGCAATATCTGTAGGAAAAGCATTCAACTATTTTCAATTTTGCATTTGCTATATGGTAGCTTATTACTTTTCTGTAAGGCTTTATCTTTTAGATGATTTTGATCCTGGCTACTTAGCGATGGTAAGATTTTTTTTTTCCTTTTTTATTTTTTTTTCCTTTTTTATTTATTTATTTTTTTTTTTTTTAAACCTCTTGACTCTTTTGACTTCCGCCATTAGTCTTCTCGCAACATTGGGGCTGTTCTAGGCGATAAACTATAATCGTTTGGTTCTCTTCTTATATAGATGATATCCAGGGAGTACGTGGTTTATTTTAACTGGATGCGATCACAATCACTCCCTCTTCATCAGGATGGTTGGCAACCTTTTGCATACGTCCCTATCATTCTGTTGTTGTTTTTTACGGAATAGAGTTATTAGCCCTGGGCCCAACACCCAAATCTGGAGGACCAAAGGAGCTATGTTATTAAATACATGAGTAGCTCTCAACTCCCTGTGAATCTCAGGGTGGGGACGTTACCCTTGCGATGGTAAGTAAAAGTAAAACTATCTTCTTTTCATATTGATTACACTTAATTAAATTTAAAATAGCAATAAATATTAATTAAATTGAATCCGAATGTAGGGTAATTTAGATGACAACGGCAAATTAAAATTATTATAAATAGTATGTGCTTGACATAGCTCGTGGCCGTCTAGGTTGTATGTAATAATATTTAAATTATTAATATAGAAGAACAAATAGACTCAGTCTCTTATTGACTTGACTCAATTGTCAAACAAGAAGTCATATTCCTACTTTTAGTAAAAAAAAAAAAGAAAAGGAAAATCAAGCTCTACCATACCCAGACAGCCATTTCATGCATAATTTTTGACTTCATCGGCCAAGTGATGTTTGTGAGGACAAACCAAATGAAACGTGACTTTGTATAATAAAGGCAGTTCTTATAACGTGTCATTGAATGAGAAATTGTGCAGAAAAGATCATCATTTCCACCACAATGATTGTCAACAACATGCCTATCTACTGTGCCATCAGAGGAACTGGAAAAAGTCAAAGGAGTCAAGACATTGTTGTTCAGATTTCACAAGATCAACTAACACAAAAAAATGCTGAAAGTGAGATCAGAAGTCAGACTAAAACTACAGTATTGAAGTCATCTGAAATCAAGGAATAAATCATCCTAAATACAGAGCAGGTAAAATCTATTTTTAAGACATGAATGATGATATACACCTAACTGGTACACCTAAGGGACAAACGTTACTTACACCTTAACTTAAAACTTTTGCCATACTCCAAAATATTCATGGATTGATGTCATTTATTTATATTCTAGGTTTTAATTTCACAAATAAATTCCATGTACAACTGCACATACATGCTAAGTACTATATCTGATCTCAGTATGGCCACAGATTCAGCCTACAGAGTAATGAGGTTTCTTGATAATGAGACCAACTTTAGCAAATCTATTAAAGAAGGCATTGAACCTGACACATTTAAGGCTGACATATCTTTTAGAAATGTTCAATTCTCCTATCCAACGAACTTACATGCAAAGGTATATGTTTTTCTTCCATTCTTGCCGTTAAATGGTTTATTTTTTATTTATTATAATAAAATATAGGTGCTTCATGATCTAACATTGGATATAGAGCCTGGTAAAGTAACAGCCGTTATAGGAACTAGTGGTGCAGGAAAAAGTACGATTGTAAGCCTAATCTCACGCCTTTATGATGTTACTGCAGGGCAGGTAAATTGTATAAAAAACATATAATGCAAAAAAAAAGTAAAATTTTGAAGCTATTGAACACGTTTGTTTAAAATATGTAATAGTAATGTTTTTGTCAGATACTTATTGGAGGAGTAGATATAAATAAACTGAATGTCAGTTGGCTGAGAAATCAAATTGCTGTTGTGAGGCAGGAACCTACGCTCTTCGATACTTCGATAGAAGAGAACATCAGATATGGGAAAACTAATGCATCTTTGGAAGAGATCGTTGAAGCAGCAAAAATTTCTTATGCTCATGGCTTCATAGAGAAATTACCTTCAGTAAGGGTGTATTTAAAATTAGATAGAAAAATTGTTCATTTATTTTTCTTAAAGATATTATAAATTTGTTTACAAAGTTGAATAATTTTTATTTGAAATTCCGTAAAGACATGGTTCACCCTAAAATTCATTACCCCCAATAAAAGGTAACCTCCTCAAAACACCTTTCTTAAACCACACACTCATGGAAATAAACAAAAAAAAAAAATTACGAAAACTTCACAAACTTTAATTTAAGCATCAAAATAAAATAAATTTTTATATATTTTATATTTTTATTCTCAGGGTTATGGTTCAATTGTTGGAGAAGGAGGAACAAAACTTTCTGGAGGCCAGAAACAGAGGATTGCCATTGCAAGGGCCATCGTCAGGAAGCCGAAATTGCTCCTTCTTGACGAAGCTACTTCTGCACTGGATACTCATTCAGAAGGCATTGTACAAGAAGCCCTTGATAACGCCATGCGAGGCAGGACAACCTTGATCATTGCACACAGAATGTCCACAGTGAGGAAAGCTGATGTTATATATGCTATGAAAGTATGTGATTCCTTCAGGTTTTAAAACGTAGATCTTGTTTGTAATTATAAATAGAGAGATTTTATTTAGGAAGGATGTGTTGTGGAAAAAGGCACACACAGTGAGCTGATGGAACTTCGAGGATATTACTACTCTTTAGCCAAGATACAAGAACTTGAGGAAAAAGACAAAGTTGTTGGACTAAAGTAAGAAAATATAACTTAGTTTCTTTCCTAATATATAACAATTTTTGTTTTAAAAAAAAATTGATTTCATTAACTTTTACCTTATAAGTAGCACTATTTATAAGTAGCACAAATTCAACACAGAATTTGTTTGTCATGCTTATGAAAATATATCACACTTAACAAAATAATTTCATTAAAAATTAGTTATTTTAAAAAATATCGTATTTTTAAAAAATTGAAATTAAATAAAAGTAAATATTATTATACTAAATGTCCTTTGCACTGAATGGATAACACTAGATTAACCGAAAGGTTATTCAACTTCCTGTGGAAAAAGGCGATGACGACATGGTTTAAGGAAATTTCATAAAGATCTATAAAGGACAAACATATGGGGGGTTCAGATATTGGACAGGAATACTTTTTGGACCGTAATTCAAGGTTTGGAAAGGTTTCAAGCTGAAAAATCTGTGAGGATTGGAAAAACCTGGACAGATTAATGTAAGCAGCGTAGTGTCCTTATAGAGGAAAACTGGAGGAAGAGGAAACTTCATACAAAAAAGCACAGGCAGATCTATGGGGAGGAGAGTGACTTTCTGGCTGAAGCCCCCATCTCCTAAATAGTAAAATGTAACCATATTTCATGGAAAAAAATATTAAAACTTATCTCTTAGTGCATTATTTCTCATGTAATTACATTTAATAGGACTTCAAGAATCATTTAAACACCTTTTCAAACAGGTAGTTAATATCTTTCTTTTTTTTTTCAAAAGTAATTATCGTTATATTTATGAGAAAAAAAAAATTAGGATGAAGCCCCTTTCTCAAAATTAAATCCTTGATCCGCTAGTACAAAAAATAATGAAATTGTAGGATGATTCTAAGAGGTCAATTCACGAAAGAAAAAAAAGTAACTTAAATGCATTTATTATTAAAATAAAAATGGTTTACTAAAAAAAATTTGATGCTGTGATAATAAAATGTAGGTACAGTTTAACAATACAAAAAAGTTTTGACATTCTGGTGCATTAAATAATAATAATAATAATACTTTGTAAATAACCTACAGAAAGTTAAATGTAAATGATTAGTTTTGGCGGAAATAGTAAATATTCTTCCTCTTTTATCGGTGGAAATTAGGTTATTAACACTCGTGAATTATTAAAACAAAACTCCCTCACTGGATATAGACTTTTGAGGGTGTTTAACTGTTGTTGGGAATCTAATACTTTTGTGACACTGTGTGAGAAGAAACAATAAGAATACATATATGAAATGTGGGACTTAGTAAACAATTTGAATGAATTGATTCATCTTGTTTATTATTCTTCAATTGTGAGGCCTCTAGGACAACTAAATAAAATAACTATTCACTCCTGTCTAACAAAACAATTTATTTTCACAACTGATATAAGTGAATATATTAAAGTCTAATAACTGTAGCCTTGATATTCTTGGTATTCAATGTAGTAAGCTTCTCTTTCTAGATGGCATCTTCTCGTGATCCTGCCCAGGCCTCAAGTCCCTCTTCCTCCTCTCTTCTGACAACCTCCTTTCTACCTGTCCCGGCCTAGAATGCCTTCTCTTCTCTCCAGCTTTTGCTACCTGCTGGGTCTTTTCGGTATCTCCCACCTTCTTCCTTCTTTATCGATATGAGACTTTTCAAAGAACAATTTGTCCACTGCACAATTGAGTACAATTCACAGTGCAACCTCACATTCCTATATATTATATATTCCTTCTCATTCCCTCACACAATGTCAACTAAAGGAGTAAATACAGGGGGCTATCTACTACAACTTTATTTATTTTGGGACAAGCCCTTTAGAATAATACAGCAAGACAGAAATGTAGGCTAAGGAGCCTCAGAGATACATAAATTAAAATACATAAAATAAAGTAAAGTTACTTTCTAATTTTGATCAGTTAATAATAAAAAAAAAATTGGAGTAAAAATAATGAAGAGCGAACTATTAATTTATGTACATATTTGCAGTAGTATCTATTTACAATTTACATTTACTGTCTTTTTGTATCAAAAAGTAAGGTCGAAATTCACAAAAATGTACTTGAACCTTTACCTCCACCTAAAATGTACTTTGTGATTTTTTGGAATAAACTAATGATATGACATAACTTAGAGTGAGAATAGAAAGAAAAAAGGTATATAATTAATGATAAAATAACTTTTTTTTAAACTATGGTAAGGAGTAATAAATGAAATTTCAACTTTAAAATGTACTATTTTAATCTTCTTTTGTTATAATTAATATTATTTTGCCGATATAGTGAAGAAAGTATTCCTAAAGAGGAACTGATCGAAGATGCTGTACCATTCAATGAGGACGATCTTGAGGTAACATAATTGTCCTTTAATTATTATACAGACATTGCTGAGCATATTGCTGGTTATTCTCACAGAAGTTGTAAGTGATTTTATAGTTTAGACCAAAACAAGATTTAAGATTTTACAGCATCATATAATTTCTTATTTATTTATTTCTCTTTGCTATTGTGTATATTTTAATTTGTTTTTATGTATATTAGATGTTCATTAGAAAGATATGAGCAGACTTAGATCAGACAAATTCTAAGTCTTCAATTCTTATTGCTTTAATGACCAAAATGGCTCTTACAATGTCTGTCAAGTCAACCAACTACATATACAATTATTATGTTCTGTGTCTAGATGCCACAGAATGATAAAATAATTTGGATGAGTATAAAAAACTTCAAAATGATAGTTGTCTGGTTCTTTGCCATTTTTTTCACCATCACTTCATCAACATTTCTTCCCACTTTTCATTACATATTCAGTCTCTTTTGCCAGGTAAATAAATATGTTTAGCTGTTTTAATCTTTATCAAGCTGTTTATTTTTTTTTAATATATATTTTATAAACTAATTTTTTTTTTAGTCGTTCACTTACACAAAAGATGAACTGAGACACATTGCCTTGACAGATATTGGTTATCTTTTCGGATTGGGGACCGTCACATTTTTCTCAGTGGTTTTGTCAGTACGTATATATACTTAGTCACATTCATCAAAAAAATATTTAATAAATTTTCTAATTTTCACTGAGTTTCAAAATGTATTGAAATATCTTAATTAATATTGGATTGTATTAGTTGTTTTATTGGGTAAAAAACAACAAAGTGATTTTGTGAAAGTACACATTTTTTACAAATTAACAGAAAACACAATGACTGTACTTATATTTGGTTATCGTAAACACCAACGATTCCACTCTCTATATTGTTTCTTTGTAAAGTCTCATGACTATTTCACTTTTGGCACAAACATTGAGTGCCCTTCACTTAACTACCGGAAGCTGGTTTTCACTCAACTGTCCCTCTGTCTGATTATACCTTACAGGTTATCCAACATTTTCCAACCACCAGTCAAAACATTTTCAACTAACCGAATGCGGCCGATTTCATTATATCGATTTTCTTCTAGCCTAATTACCATATAATATTCTTAAAATCTCCTGAACTATCAACAATTTAAAAAATAACATATAATGTAAGGGCTTTCCTAGTTGTTTTGCAGGTTATCGGATCTTTTTTCCTTCCTGTTGGTACCTTTTCATCCCAATTTTATCATCCATAGGTGCCTCTCCAAGGTCTCTACTTACTGATTAGGCAGTCCACTGCAACCATTATATATATTATTTCTCTTCTTAGTTCATGTCCAGCTAATCCGATCCCAATCCTCTCGAGGATGCTCCCATGTTGTACTACTTTATGGCTCCTAGAGCTTGAGTCATGGATATTTTTCTGCCAGCACTTTCTGGGCACCTATGAGAGCAATTTACTATGTCATGGTAATTTATGCAGAGGAATCTCAGTCTTAACTTATCTGTCTTCTATGTATGTATCCTTTAGCATTTACTAACTCCTGCTTCTTTGATTGGCTTTTGGAATCCCGCATTAGTGCTGGCCTTAGGGCTGGGTAAATTGTCCGATCATTAGGGGCGCTTGCCATTTGTTAAGAATTTAAAATTATTAATAATACAACTGTACTAGAGAAATACTGATTGAAATAAAATTCAAATATCACATAATATAAAACGTGTTAAGAAATAAATCGTATTTTTTTTTAGAGAGGAAGAGATGACGTCATTGTCCGGGGGCACCAAATGTCTAAGGGCGACACTCACCTTCTCTCAACTAACTCTGACTAAGCTTCACACAACCGTCCCTCCCTTTTTTACATCTCAGGTTATGTTAACATTCTCCAATTGCTAGTCAGTCTGATTATGTGATGATAAATCAATGCTCACTATTTCAAATGGGATAAAAAAAAAAACCTATACCACTACAACCCATGAAGGGTCTTTGGTTCAGTACTATTTAGGGAAAGCACTGTTTCTCGGTCAACAGTTGTGCAAGGAGGTGATTTGACCGAGATCACGCTTAACCGCCAGGTTTTCTCCCTTAATTAATTATTAAATTAAGGGTACCCACTTTACAGAGGCTGGGTGTGCCCCAAGAGGGTCTCCCGACCCGGGGTCACCCCACTGCCAATGAAACAGAATAAATAAATTTTCTGCCATGAGCAAATGGAATAAAAGGTATTTATAATTATAATGGCTTGTTGAAACTTGCATTCCTAGCTTTTTAATTTAATCTAGTTCTCATTGAGTCAGAAGACCAAATTTTAATAATATTCAAAAACCATTTATATAACTGAGTTGAAAAAAATTATACAGAAACGACTTATAATTTTATATATAATGATACAGAATTGTGTAAAATATTTTAATGTGAAAAATTACTTTCAAGGGTGTGATGTCAACTGCTGCAACTCAACTATGGTTGCCAAAATTACAGAAAAAAGCTTTTAATAGAATAGTTTCTATGGATATAAGTTGGTTTGACAGAAGTGGAAATTCTCCTAATGAATGCCTTGAAATATTGACCAGTAGTCCTACACTCATTGAATCAGTAAGTACTGTGTTAGAACAATAGTACATTTAAATGAAATTAAATTGAGAATATCTAATGCTTTTAAATCCTTTCAAAGATAATTTTATATGAAGAAATGTACATTTTCAACAACAAAGTCAGCACATATTCCAATTTACAAATATACATAAGGGCTGATTTCAGCATGGTTAGCTGAAAAATGCATTATAATAAATAACTTGTTTTAATTACTGTAGTTAAAATTTTGTAGAATCAACAATGTATGTTTCATTTATTATTAATATTATTCATCAAAAGAATGTGAGGCAACAAATATAGACAAAAATTTTAATTATTAGATAGTTATAAGAAGATTTCAAATCAGGAGTCTAAGTTTTCTAAATTAATGGAGATTGAGACAATAAATATTTCTGCAATATCAGGCCTGTTTTTAAATATAACCTTCAATATATATAATAATAATGATTTTTTCAGTTATTTAAAATTGTGTTCCTCTCAGATTAGTAAGAAAATGAAATCAGTGGTCTAGGTGAACTGTGACTCTGACCTTAACGGCACTTGTGAGTTAGAGGAAGAAGAGCATAACCATTTAAATATTTCATTGATATGGATTTATTTGATTTACAATATAAATTTGGATATCCTTTAAATATTATTATACAGGGTGTTTCGTAATTGCACGGTATGTATTTTAGGTATGTATTCACTAACGTAAAATCAACAAATAAGTTCTTATTAATATTCATCTCAAACTCATTTATTAAACAGATATCAAAGGTATTTATTAAAAATAGTAACTGTTCAAAGGGGCCTCCGTTCTGTTAAATGCAACATTCAGCACGACGAATCCATGCTTCTCTGGCTCTTCGTAGAGCATCAGGATGGTGCATGATAGTTACTGCGGCTTCCACAATCCGATTTCTTAGCTCTTCTTGTCTGCAAACTGCTGCAGAATAAACCATAGACTTCAACCAGCCCCACACAAAATAATCAAATGGTGTTAAATCCGGAGATTGTGGTGGCCATCTAACAGGTCTGTTTCGACCAACCCATCAGTCTCCATAAGTTGCATTTAAATAATCAGTGACACTATTACAAAAGTGAGCTGGAGCACCGTCATGCAAAAACCACAGACTTTGCTAGTACCTAGCGGAATATCTTCTAGGAGTTCGTGAAGATTATTTTGTAAAAATGTAAGTAAGAAATACCTGACAGCATAGGTGGCAAAAAGAAGGGGCCGATGATGTTGCCGCTTAGAAGACTAGATCAGACATTTAAGGAAAAGGTATGTTGGTAATGTCCAACAGCAGTCGTATGGGGGTTTCCTTCAGCCCAAGTATGGGTATTTCAAAAATTAAGAATCCCGTTTCTTGTAAAGCAAGATTCATCAGTAACCGAAATTTCTGCACTTGTTATAATCTTATGGTAACAAATCTTGCCTACTCAATACATGAAATGGATACAATTGTTGTTCACGTAAAGTTTTCTATACGCTGGTAGAGGAAACATTGAAACGATGTGACAATATTCTGCTACTAATAGTAGGAGATAACTGAATAGCTTCCAGTATTTCTTCTTCAACGTTTGCAGTTTGTCGAAATCTTTGTCGACCAGCATTTACTCATTTACATTTTAGCGTGCCATTATCCCTAAGGCATCTTTCAATGGCCACAAACGTTTTACGATTTGGTATTCATCGGTTAGGAAATTTTTCACGATATCTCCGAACAGCAGCAGCACCGTTTCTATGTACCGCGCCAAGTTAAAAGTATGTCTATTTGTTCTGCAAAAGTGAATACATTTATAGTGTCTTCCATGATAATCATAAATTGAACTGTTTCACAGTATTTACTCACATTAAAACACACAGAACTAGACAAACAGATGCGCGACTACTGACATTGCTGATCGTTCATTCGTTTATCAGGTGATTAAAACCTGTTATTTAGTATTAAACTTGTTAAACTTTCTACAGTCAGTCTTAATGTAGTAAATAAATAATAAATTTTTAACCTTTGATATCTGTTTAGTAAATTAATTTGAGATAGATATTAGTATGAACTTTTTTTTTTATTTTGTGTAAGTGAACATGTACCTAAAGTAATGTCATGCAATTATGAAACACCTTATATATACATAATGAATAATTTTGTAATAGTTAAGACAGCTAAGATTAAGTTATATTATTAATATCAATATTGTTCAGGTGGCAGGAGATAGGGCAGCTCAAGTTGCCATCTTCATGCTTTCAGTACTGTTTGCCATCGGATATTCATTCCTTGTTAGTCCAAGTATAACACTCGCAAATTTACCAATTTTTCTTGTCTTCTTTATCATCAACTGTTTGAGATTGAAGTCAAGAGATGCTGATGCTCGGTCTGCCTTTCTCACAACCAGGTCAACAAAGGTGAAAAATTAAAATAATCTTAATGTTTTATTTTTTTTAATTGTTAAAGAATGTTCTATTGAAACTTACCTATCCTTTAGGTAGCTACTGAATATGTGCAAAATGTCAAAACAATCCAAATACTTAACTGTCAAAAATATGTAATAAGCAGGTATCAAGACATGCTTGTATGTTCTCAGAAGTGAGGCTGATTTTTTTTTTCTCTTTCTAAATTTGTAATTCCAAAACAATTATTAAATATGATGTAAAAATTTTATTCAGGGAAGCAAATGTAAGCATTGCCTGGTATGCAGCTGTTTACAGTTTCTCTAAGACATTGATACGATGGTCAATGGGTATATTATTTATTTATGGAACCTATGTTATTGCGAATGGCAATGTTCGAGGAACGTCACTTATTAGGTAAGAATAAACATGAGTAGTTATTTCGCAAAAAAAAGTTCTTTTCCTATTAATATCATTATTTTTTAAATAATTTTACTAAGTGGTTGGGGTGGCCGAACAGGCTAACATGTGTGCACAGCACCGCCATTGCCCAGCAACCCGATATACAAGACAAATTGATAAAAAATAGTCACGAGTATGTGTCCCGGTGGCGGGGAAGCCTTTTATTTTAAATCCCCGCCCTCATCCCATAGCCTGAGAAAAACACCTTATAGCCTTAGAGGCGAGGAAGGGGAGAACCCCCCAAAAAATAAAAATATATATATACTTTTATTAATTCTTCTCTACAACTCTGAAGTTTGAATCTCCTGGTCTTCCTTTTCATCAGTTGTCACTTTTAGATATACTGAGCCTTCTTTCTTGCATGTACATTTAAAAAGATCTTCACACAGGGTGAGTTTGAGGAGATGCACTCTAGTTGCTTGCAGTAGAGCCTTTCACAGGATTATTGCCAACCTACTTCTTTGTCTGTGTGAGGTATTGAATTTACACTGACCTTTTAGATTTGTACTGAATGGCAAATAATTTCTATGTCATCATCATCATCATCATAATTTATCCTCTTGAACCGCATTAAGCAGTGTGAGGAGGAAGTTTATAGAGCCTTCTCCAGCTCTGCCGGTCTTCAACAAGACGCCTTCTATCGTTCCATTGAAGACCTCTTCTCTGGAAATCGCTCTTTACTTCATCTTCTATTTCCTTCTAGGCTGTCCTCTTCCTCTCTTGCCATCTACTTTAGATCGATAGGTTTCGCTAGCTATTCTGTGTGGTTCCATCTGCAGATGTCCTAGCCATCTCAGTCGATTCTCCTCAATCACATCATCTATGGCTGATTGTCAGCGTCCATGATTCTGAAGATTACGTTAAAATGGGAAGAAATGTCGATCTGAAAACAGCTACTTTTGTTTTCTTTTCCACCTCGCGCCTGTTCAGAAAACTATTTGAAGTTTTCTACCTGCTCGAGGATTCTGTCTTCCACTCTGATGCGCATATGTCTCCTAGGCTTCTTCCCAACCCTCATTACTTTCGTTTTTACAGGGTTGATAATTATATTAATCTTCTTTTAATCTATTAATATTGTACTGAAGATTCCTGTCACTGTCCGAAAAAATAACAATGTCATCAGCGAATGCAAGTATTGAGAGGCTCACCGATCTCAGGTTGGCATATCCCAGGTGAAATTTCCGCATTTTTCCTTTAGCCCTTCGTATTGCCGAGTCCATCACTAGTATAAACAAAAGTGGACTAAGACTACAACCTTGCCGGATTCCAATTGTCTTGATTTCCTGTGAAGTTCAGTTGGCAAATCTTACTATATTTCTTGTTTTCTTGTAGACTCTCCACCGCCAGAACATGACCTTGATCAATCTCTTTTTCTCTCAAGTCATCATCATAGAACATAATTTGGTAGAAGTGGAGGTACATTGTACCTCAAGACCAGATTCCTGGATGCGATATTTAAAGGAAAAAATAAACATGTCTAGACGTTCCCTTGTTATTTATCTTTCCTAGTACTAAATTCTTTAGTCCTGTCCCTATTGATTTTTACTAAACATAGAGCATTCTTCATTAGTTTTGCTTATATTCAAAAGTTATAAAATATTTTATACTACTCTACTAATACCGTCAGGACCAAAACAAGGATTTCTTCAAGGGTAGGCAAGCTTTTTCTTGCCGCCCTTTCTTTCACTCCTACCCCTTTTTCAATAAAGCTCAACTCTTTTATAATAGGAAACATTTAAAAAAATATATATCATTATCTCATAAAATTAATTCATTTTATTGACTGAATTGAGGTACAATCAAAAAGTAGAAACAAATATTTTTTTCATTAAAAAATATTTTTTTTATTGAAATTTGCTGCTCCCTAAATTCTGCCAACCAGGGTAAGCAACGATAATGAGGGAATTTGGTTTCCTTTTCTGAAGGCCCCGATATCTTGTCTGCAACACCTTTTGTTAATTTATTACTATAACAAATTGTTTGTCCTTTGAAATTCCTTCTGTGGTCTAATTTATTTTTTAAAAAACAATTATATAGGCAATCAATGGTTTATTTATTAATGATTACAATTTAAGATAATGTTTTTTGTCCAGTGTTGTATTTACTCTAAGCATGGCATCTTCATTGGCTGGACCTACTTTGATCTTGACGAGTCAGTATCCTGCAGCCAGACAGGCGATAAAGCAACTTTATAGAATTGCCTATGCTAAAAACTCTCTCAATACATTGACGGATCAAGGAATGAAACCAGTAGGTCTGAAAGAGTATAAATTATCAAAACATATTTTATTTATAGATAAATATTTACATTTTTTTTTTATATTTTAGGAAATAAGTGGAAATATTTTATTCCAAAATGTGATGTTCACTTATCCCACAAGAGAAAAAGTACAAGTTCTCAAGGAGCTAAATCTTAAGATCGAAGCAGGAAAGACTGTAGCACTAGTAGGAGACTCTGGGTGCGGCAAATCGACTATCGTCTCACTTCTGGAGAGGTTCTATCTTCCCAATGAAGGGAAAATAGTGAGTTTGATCTTACTTATAACAACATTAACAAATAGTATCATTAAAAAAGTAACTTTAGGAAGTAGTATCAAAGAAATCTCTCTAAAGATGACTAATGTCTTATTAGAAATAAAAAGAAAAATTATGTATTCTCAGATTTCTTATAATTTAAATTCAGCAGCAGCTAAAATAAAAAAATTCTGAGAGACAGTCGATGAAACCATGCCATCAAGCAAAGGCGTAACGATTTAATCACATTTAGAGGATTGTTGTCAAAATCAGACTGGACGATCAGCAGTCAATAGGTAACTAGGAGAAGGTTGTGTAATAGGAGAAATGAAGTTGGATCCTGTAAACACGGAAGTATTTTTTTCAGAAAAATTAGATAAATGGAATCTCGGTAGCTGTCATAAAATTATCATTTATCCCTTATACTTAATTTAAAATTAAAACTTTTCTTTAAAAATTTTAATTCTTAATTTTTCAGTTTATCGACGGTAACGACATCAATGATATAAATGTCAGATATTTAAGAAGTCAAATGGGTCTCGTTTCACAAGAGCCTGTCTTATTTGACATGACAATAAAGGAAAACATCCTTTACGGTTCTGAAGAAAAGGTTACAATGGACAAGATCATCGAAGCTGCGAAAATAGCAAATATTCATAACTTTATAATGAAGCTTCCTCAGGTATTAAAATTTTTTATATACTTTTTCAATAAGTTCTGATTATGGCTTGTGATGAAACTTGTGAAACTTATTTGAGAATGCTTGCTGGGATTCTCTTATCCAGCTTCTCCTTTATGTCTAAAACATAAGATGACAAAGCAAATATCATCTGCTAAGGCCAGATCTTTGAATCTATGATTCTCTATTAGGCGCAATGTGGCATAAAATAGTAATGATTGCCATAAAAACAATGTAATAACCAAGAAATTAGTGCCTAATATAAACATTAGTTGGAAGTGTTATTATAAAACTTTAAACAAACTCCTAACTTATAAAGCCAGTGACTATGAAACAAGATGCAATATTTAGATAAACTGTTTCAGAAAGACTGAAAATTACTTTTTCCTTCTTATCTTTGGTAATCATATTTATTGCTCTTTGTTTGGATATCAAAACAGATGAAAAGATTTAGTCTGTGGTGCAGACCCCTTTTTATCGAATTATTAACATCTGCCTGAAACTTTGTAAATAGTTTAATCTAATCGTAATCTACAACTATTTTATTTATAAAAACTCTTGAAATTGGGTCGTTTTTAATCTCGAGAGAGGCAAGCTTTGTCTTTGTCTTTGTCTTTAATTAGGTACTAGAAACTCGTAAATACCCATTGGTTTCTATTTAGATCGTAAGATAATTTGATCAAAAAATTGATAAAAAATGTGGCCTTCAAAAATATTGAGCCATTTGGCATGACCTACACCCTCAATTTCTCAAAATAACGCCGTTATATTGTACAAATGGCCCAATATTTTTGTACGCCACATTTTTTATCAATTTTTTGATCAAATTATCCTACGATCCAAGTAGAAAGCAAATGGGTATTTACGAGTTTTTAGTACCTAATTAAATAGACAAAGTTTGCCTCCCTCCAGACTGAAAACACCCCAATTCCAAGAGGTTTCGTAAATAAAATAGTTGTAAGTTATGATGAGATGAAGCTATTTACGAATTTTCAGGCAGATGTTAATAATTTGATAAAAAGGGGTCTGTACCCATGCACTAATTCATAAACTGTTGTTAGATGACTGATCCAATGCCATACTGGCTGAATATGTTAGGTTGTTACTTTAGAACTGGTGTTGTCCGAAATTGGTCTTGGTCTATCCACTTTGCAAGACCAAGACCGCCTAACTGTAGCAAGACCAAGACCAAATCTGGTTATTTTGCATTTAACTCTTCTAATTTTTCATTTGGGCATAGTTAGGTTTTCCCTATCTGAAAAATTACAGTAATATATTTATAGTAATATGCTAATAGGTAACTGCATGACGATTACGAAACTCTTGCGCAAGACCAAGACCAACATCAACACTGAGTGCTCAAAACAAAGATTCGTCTTGGTCTCGCATTTGGGCAACACTATTTAGAACTCTCGAGTCAGAAGCAGAACCTGTAAGTTTTAATATGTTTCAATAAATGTTAAAGGCTTATGACACTTCAGCGGGAGAAAGAGGTTCCAAGTTATCAGGAGGGCAGAAGCAAAGGATCGCAATTGCTAGAGCAGTCCTCAGGAATCCTAAGATATTACTTCTGGACGAAGCTACCTCTGCACTAGATACAGAGAATGAGAAGGTATGGGGGAGTATGTTACACTATCAGTAACTGATTAATGAAGGAACTTTATCATATGAATTTCAACAAATCCAAAAACATAAACATCTTTATTTAATTATAATGGTTGTTGTATTTATTTATTTCTATATTATAGGCTGTACAGAAAGCTTTGGAGAATGCCTCAATTGGCAGAACCACTATTGTGATAGCTCACAGACTGTCAACGATCCGTAAAGCAGACAAGATAGTGGTCATCCAGTCCGGTGTGGTAGTAGAGGAAGGGAACCACGAACAGCTGATGGAGAGGAGAGGCCACTATTACCATCTGCTTAGTAGATAATTTATTATCTGTGTCTCAACGGACTGCATTTTTAATCACATATCATTCATTATCTTTAATCACACTAAAGATATTATATAATATAATACAAATATTTTATTGTTAGCAATTCTAGTATTAAACTAATTATATGACCCCTTTTCTGCATAGAGTATTGTGATTTTATTAATTTAATAAAAGAAGATATGGTATTGTGTATCAATGCTTTTTAGATTGGACTGGACCCTTCGGATAAGAAATTACTTAGCATTAATACAAAGTTTAAAAAAAAAAAATATTGCTGTCATTTTGTGTCTTATGGAAGGATCATATTAATTTATGGATTTGTGATGATATATATGAAATTACATTGTTATTAATTGATTGTATTCATATTTTCTTGTAAACTAGATCTATCTGCAAGTAGTTAAACTGTTTGATATTGCTACATTACCTTTCTTATTTTTAACATTTGTAAAATGTAAAAATTATATTGTTTCAAATAAACGTTTTAACACAGGCATTGTTTATATGCTATAGCCCTTATAACAGATAATGAATAATAATATGAAAGCTATATTCATGATTTTTAAGTATATTTTCGGTAGTCGAGCAATATTTTGTCTTAGGATTGATTCCTATCGAGAGAGGGGGAGAGAGAAGAGAGACTTTTGGGCTGAAGTCTCCCCTCTCAAAATGGTAAAATACAACCATTTCCATGAGAAAATATAAAAAAAAATTGTCTTTAATATATTATTGTTCATGTAATTACGTTTAATAGGACTTCAAGAATCATTTAAACACCACTTCATATATGTAATTACGTGTCTTTCTATTTTTTCCAAAGTAATTACCATTTTATATATATAAAAAAACTTTTTGGGCTGAAGCTCCCCAAAATTAAATTCTGAATCCACTAGTGCAGTAGACTTTGTTCTCGCAGGTCCCCATCTTCAAACATAGACAAAGCTCCTAATGTGTATCATTGTATAATGAAGTGGTCTTTAATATAATTTAGGTCTTATCCCTGTTGATGTCACTTTACAGGGCTTAAATGTCCAATGTTCATATGCGTTGTCCTCTAAAGTACCTTTAATATGGTTTCTTTTAAATAATAACCTATCTCTCATTATTAAGAGTTACGAAAAAATGCTAAATATAACTTTTGAAAGAATTTGAAAATTGAATAAAGGAGAGAAAAATAAAAAGGCTTATCCAGGTCGAAAATGAATCTCCGGAATTACTAGTTGGATATATCGTTGGAAAGTGAAGAATTTTAGAAAAAACAATATGTAATACAGAAAGTTGTAGAAGGTAACCGAGAGTGGCAAAAACATTATAAATAAAAAATTTGAAAATTAATAACATTTAATGTAAATCACATGTTTTCAAGGAAATTAAAGAAAATTTACTAACTAAATGTAAACTTTTAAAATATTTTTAAATTTGAAAAAAGTATTTAAAATCCAAATAATCAACATAACGATATTGTTAAAAAAACTATTTCATTGTACTTGGGTGAAAGATGAAGTAAAATATGAAATAATTTCATGGATGCATAAAGCATATGTTAATAACATTAAATATATTTACTGTAGTTTAATAACTCTAGATCTGATATTATATTTCAATATTTAGGTATCTATCATCCGTTTATTCCGAAAAATCATCATGCAACCTTTTAGAAAATTAAATTAGTTTATAATTTGATGACATTTCCTTTTGGGAAATTCCAACAGTATCCACTTACAATTAGTGTGACAACTTTTGACCTGTCTATGACAGACAATGCAAATCTCTTAATTCCGTTTTAGTAAACTTTGGAATGGAAAATAACAGTTTAATAACTAATAGTCCTACAATCCATAATCAACGGATCGTAAAATCCATAATCAACCGGTTATATAATAAATACGACGTTTTTATTTTAATCGTGATTATGATTTGATAGCTGTAAATTTTTAGCTTTAGAGCTCGGTTAAAATTTTTTTTAATAGCCAACATGGCCAGAAAATAATTTCTATTCAAATTTGAGCGGTAAGTGAAAGTTGAGTGTCGCGCGCACCAGATTTTTTATTTAAAAGTTCTACTAAATTATGTAAGCAAACTACTTTTAGTTCCTGAAAGTGTCTCTTTTTTTTTTCTTTTTTTTTAAATGTTAAAAGTCGTTTTGAATGTAACTGTATTTTATATTTTCATAATAAATATCTTTTTATATATTTATGAATTATTACATTTACTTCCTGATTAAATCGTCTCTTATTTCTTCGTGGTTTTCTGTTCACTATGTGCGTAATATAATAGTTTCGTGCTCAGGAAAGTTTTGATATCATACAAGAATAGTTCTAGTATACATCACTTATGTTATTTAACATCACTTACCAATAGCGGATCCAGGATTTAATTTTGGGGGGGGCTTCAGCCCGAAACCTTTTTTTTTCATAAAAATAACGATAATTACTTTGGAAAAACAGAAAGAAACTAACTACCTATATGAAATGGTGTTTAAGTTATTCCTTAAGTACTTTTAAATGTAATTACACAAACAATAATACTTTAAGAGGTATTTTTTAAATTTTTTTCCCCATAAAACATGGTTATATTTTTCCATTTTGGGAGGGGGGGGCTTCAGCCCGAAAGTCCCCCCTCCCCCCGTAGATCCGCCCGTGTCACTTACTAGTGAAATAACATGGCCAATTGTTGATTTAGTTTTTATTTACGGATACAAATTTTGAACTGTTATTCTATCTTTTAAATATAATATTATGAAAATATTTTGTTTTTCACAAGGGACTGTGTACCAGAATAAAGATTTTTCTATCTAAATATTATCTAATCAGAAATTGTAGTCTAATAACGGAGGAGTTTACAGTAAAGTCGGCGACCTAGCAAACAAAAACAGGTTTTATCAGTGAAGATGGCGAGAGCCGGCAGTGATCGTTCGCTAACGAGTCTGTCAGCACCCGACATCTTGTAGCCACCGGCTCCTTCATCATTATCATGTCCAACAACTACAGGGCCAATGACCAGTCTGGCCACTACACGAGGTACTTATGCTATTAATTATAAACTACTAGTTATGAATCATCTTAGTAAACATTTGTTGTATTGCACAACTTTAGACATACAGATCTACACTTGGAACGGTATGCAAGGACGTCTAGTCCAAATATTAAAATAAAACTACAGGACGAAAGGAAGTGCGCCCGCCTAATGATGATTTTTCAATTAAACCTCTCTTGGACGGTGAAAGTTAACTATGTTTTGGCTTCAAGCACATCGGGCCCTCGTTAAATTGTTTAATAATTGGTATTTTCACAACTGTTGAAATAATAAAATTGATATCTATGTGGTTTGTGAGGTCAACTATTTTAAAATAACTGGATAAGGCGCTCAGTGTGGCACCTACCTCCAATGGGCAATAGAGCACAGAATGGAGTGGCTGAGTGTGAAAAATATGCGTTACCCAGCAACCTGGTAAACTGAAGATTACGACTTCGAATACCGGTGCGGGGGGGGGGGGGGGGGCTTTTAACGCTGGTACTATTTCCTTGCCCTGGTCCTGGTACTCCCTTGCAAGGGAGAAACCCCGTAAAGCCGAAAAGTTTATAAACTGTTACTTTTTTCTGGAATATTTCACTATTTTAGAGGGAATAATAAATTACTTCTAATTGTGGGTAAAATGGTTGACTGTCGTGAATAATGAAAAGAAGAATAGTTGGGGTGATCAGTCAAGTAAGAAGGCAAAAATAAATAATAATATTTATTTTGACATTTGCCGACGTTTCGGACCTGAAGTTCAGGCCTTCATCAGGGCTAAGAAAAGAACCAGATAACAAGGTATGAACATGAATAATGTTGGTAAAAAAAAATTAAAGTAACATGAAGTTGTTAGAATAATGACAATAGTAAGAACTAAGATATAAATAATAATAACCATTACAAAGTGTGGAATGATGAAGTAAACATAATCAAAAAAGGTGAAATAAGTATTAAAATGAGAATCTTAGAATAAAATGTAAAACAGAAAAAAGGAATATACAGTTAAATAGAAAATTGAGATATTGTAAAGTCTATTAATTTTCTATCTAATTACTCTATTCGCAATGTCTTAATTTTGATATTTATTTTCATATCTTATATAACTTCATATTCCTTTTTTTCTGTTTTACATTTTATTCTAAGATTCCCATTTTAATACTTATGTCACATTTTTTGATCATGTTTACTTCATCATTCCACACTTTGTAACGGTTATTATTATTTATCTCTTAGTTCTTACTAATTTTTCTACCCACTTCATTTTACTTTAATTTTTTTACCTACATTATTCATGTTTCTCATACCTTGTTATCTCGTTATTTTCTTAGCCCTGACGAAGGCCTGAACTTCAGGTCGAAACGTCGGCAAATGTCAAAATAAATATCATTTATTTTTGCCTTCTTATTTGACTTATCATCCCAACTATTCTTCTCTTCAATAAATTATTTCCTTAATTTATTATATCCTTAATCTATTATATCCCTTCACCTAATTTTTTTTACATTATTTCTTGCATACATTGTCATTAGACATTTTAAGGTAAATGGGTATATTTGCTGCATGAAAGGACAATTCTGTGGCACTAAGCGTTTTATTTATTCACTAGGCGTGGAGAGATTGCCCTGGTAGTATGCACCCTCATTGTGGGCCTTACCACTATTTTCATCATGCTCATTTAAAAAAATTAGCTAATGGTGATACTAGTAACAGTTCTTTTAATCATGTCCTGAAATTGCTCAGTCCTTCTCATATTTCCTCATATTTTTATTTAAGTACAATACATTGATGTTTGAATTAGAAATACTATCAAAATTATTAATTAATTTTATTTTAATTATAGTTATTTTTCTTTGTGTAAGTAAGAAAAATACTATAACCAGAAATAATGAATCTGATGTTATGTGAAGTAAACAGTTCACTGAGCGGACTCTCCCAGCTAGCGTCTCCACAATCAGTCCCAGTTTGTCGCATTTATAGTC